GCTCAGTACTATGACTGTATGTTGTTCATATAAAGGGCATATCATAGCTGTGCCAGTTAACATGTTGTCTGTTCTGTCTCGCACAGAACAATGACAGAGGCAGACACTCAGTCAGACAGAGAAGTTGTTTGGAAATAACAGCTAAAAGTGATGGCAAAGCAAAGTGTTGAGAGGGGTGTTATATAAAAGGAAGGGCCGGAAGAGATTACACAAACACACACACAAACAAGTTGTAATGGATGAGGACACAACATCGACGTTAGCACAGTTTGTGCTCCAGATTTAACACTAAAATATGTTGTGAGTGTCTTGCAGAGTAGAACAATGTTCATTTGTCTTTCCTAATCTAACCACAACAGAGCGTCAATTTGTGCCTACATCTTCCAAAAAGTTACAAGGCACAGTTGAAGAATTATTCAGTTTAATGATCTGACATGATGGTTAAAGTAAGTTTTAAAATAAATACTTGATGTTAGGAAAACAGAAAACATTTTTGTTCAATATCACCGCTATGTTTTGTCCCTCTTCTTCATATTCACTCTAATAAATATATTATTAAGGATAGGGGATGATCAATGATGGGCCCTATATGACACAACTGAAGGTACAAACTACATTTGGAATGTTTTAAGTTTTAACTATTGCATCCTGACTATAAAATGCGGTTCAGACAAGACGACTAAAGTGATTCTTTTGAATTGGACAGGCTTTTTTCTGTTGCCCTTCTCATGGTGTTATGGAAAAGTCTGAGGCAGAGCAGCAGCAAAGACCCGGCAGAACAGAGAAAGCATCAATGACAACAGAAATGTCTTTTGCATTTTGGTCACTAAATATACATAATAGTACTTTCAAAATACACATGGCATAAGCCCAGACGTTAACTAGCAGCAGGAGAGGATACCTTACAGAACATACACAGGGCACTGCACCAAAAGTAAGCAGAGAAATACACCACTTTTAGTTCAAGACTCTCTGAGTATAACCCCTAAATATAATCTATTAGCTTCCTTATAATCAAGGAAAAAAATATAGGTATTCAACTTCAAGTGTGGTTGTGTGTCTGTGTAAAATCTCATTCCTCATTAACTCCGCCCAGATGTTGCTGGCAGGAGGTGACCTCTATCTACTGACAGACGGTCTAGACCTGTAGCAACACGAGACACACACACGCACACACACACAACACACACTCACACAGGGACCTACGAGTGAGTAAAAGCCTGCTCAAAGTCAGAGTAAGGTCATGTAAACTTGCAGGAGAATTAGTTAAGGGAACAACAAAAATAAACATGAAATCACCTTCCTCATCTTCTCGACTCCGGCTTTGCACACATTCATTGCAGCACTCGTCCAAATGCTAATTCATCACACGACACTGCCTCCAGCTTGAAATGCAGCCTCCCATAATATTTTCATATCAGCAATATGAATGTTGCTATAAAAGGAGCCTTAATGGAGGTGTTAAATATCATCACTTAAATTTGATTAACTTAGAAGAAAATGCCTGAAAAACACACACACACACGCTCACACACACAACAAAGTGGGATCGTCTGAGGCAATCAAATGCCGGTGAAAAGCATCATTTATCAAGTTGTAACAGAATCACTTATTTGTGCAGTCTGACTTCAGAGATGATGAGGGTGAAAGGAGAAATTAGAAGATGGCGCGATCAACAACAAACATGTAAGAATATTCATGCAAAAAAGAAATAACAAGTCTGAGAAGGAATACGTTAACGTCCAGTATGCAAACAGATATAAGTGAGAGCCAGCTGTATGTAAAGCCGCTGCTTGTTAGAGAGATCATAGGAGAGGAGAAACAGAAAGACAGAACCAGAGACGCAGAGAGAGAGAGAGAGGAGGTCTTGGGGTGGACGAGTGATGTTTCTGTTCATTAGCAGTCCTGCCATATAGCCGGACAGTAACAGCATAATCATGTCTGCTCTGCGTGTCCTTGATTGTCATTGGTGGGACTCTGCCTTGCCTTTGTCTCTATTCCAGACTGTGTGTATATGTGTGTATTTATATTTGTGTGCATCTCTATAAATCCTTCTAAACTTTAATTAACTAACTGAGCCGCAGACATTGGTGCCAAAAAAAACTGTAAGGCAGCAATGTTTGTGCACTTCCAAATAAACTAAATATAATCCTTTCCCCGTCGGCCTATTGTGTGTGCTTTTCTAATCCTCTGAGAATCGGATGTAAAACTGAGACAATCTCAACAGCAGCCAGAGCCAAGTTCTGCGTTTAACATTTAAATGTCTTCTTCTGGTAACAGAAAATGAGGACTGAAAAATGGAGGAAACACAACAATGGTGCTTAGAAGAGGCTCTGTGTTGCGGCAATGCCACTACGATGCCGTGATGCGTTTCTTTATTGATAATATCCATTGATCTGTTTCTGCTTGAACAGAGTGAAAGAGGATTTTTGCAACTCCACAAAACTGGGATGACTGGCTGCCGCTGTGTGATCGACGTGTGAAAAACTGAGCATATTTTCCACACAGATGTATAAAGCTTACCGTTTATATAACGTGAAGGCGCAAGTTTTCTAGATTTTGGAGATGCAAAGGGACAGAGTTATGAGACACAGGCGGACAGATGTAACGAGCATCAGAAGGCTCTGAATAATGCACGACTGCTTGGCAAAATCGTAGAACAGGCTGTATAAAAGAAAGGGACAGTGTGGGTCCCCAGTCTCTAGCACCTTATTTTGGGGGTCACAGGCTGCAAAAGTTTGGGAACCCTTGATGTAGACCTAATGCTGCCAACAGTTCACATTTCAAACTTCTTGTCTGACTGAAATAAAAGCAGGTTTTGCTCGAGTAACAAAATCAATCCATCAGCTACAGATGAAAACCAGGTAAAGACATAAAGTGCATGTACAATTTCTCCCAGTCTGACTTGAAACGTTAACCTCACTACTCTACTACGCTATGACGTCACTTCTGTTAAGCTCATCAGCTAACATTGCTTCTTTTTTTTGTATGATCTGTGGACACAATGTTCATTTTTACTGGGCGAGGGAGCCCGTACACTTCCTTGTGGCTCATCCTGCCCATGTCATCCATTTCTGATTCTGTCTGCACAGTTTCTGACGTAGACATGAGGTCTGATGAGTGTCCCCTTCACTCTACCATGCAATCCTGATTTTGTTCTTGGAAAGTGTAAACTAAGTCAAATGTAATATTATTTTTTAAGGTTGGTAAAGGATTAGACACTGTGGTGGAAAGCATGCCATTTAATTCAGCTAATAATAAAATAAAAAAAGTGTCCCCTTCACTAATAGGCCCTGTCACTCACATCCACCGGCTTAATGGCTCCCTCATTAATAAATTAGATAAAGGTGCAGCTTGGTTTATCTGACTTCTGTCCTCTCTCTCTCTCTTCATCCACCTCTTATCTTTTCTTTGTTTTGTTTTTCTCTTCTGTTTCTTCTCTCCTCTTACTCTCCCTCATTGTCTGCATTCTTTCTGCTGCTCTTATCTCTCTCCAAACTCTCATTCCTTCACATCCATCAGCTCACACTCTCCCCCACTGCATCCCATCTATCTTTCCCTTTATCACCATTCCCTCTCCTCAGACTGACGTATTTTTCTTCTCACTGAAATGTGTCTCTGTGTCATTCTTCTTCTCTCTTGCTTTAATCGGGGTAAACAAAGTCTAAATGGTACCCACATGCAAACTTTTTACGCATAGCCTCCACTAGATATACTCAAAGTCAATATACAATAATTCAAACAAACACAATGAAGCCAATTGATTTTAGCTTTAGGATAAATGTGCTGCAGCTAAACCCCGCACTACGCCCCCTGCTACAGACCATGCAAGAAATGCTACACTACAGACAAAAAATATATACAGTGTGTATATAATCTGTTGTAGTCTGTGGTTTGTACAATAAACTGCTATAGTAAGCTGACTCTGATTATTGTCAGTGATTTATATATCTCTACAAACATACAAACATAAATACAAAGAAGTAGTATGTTGTGAGATTAATAGTTGTGGCTCCTTTTTAGCCGTTGGTAAAGGATGTTTGAGCTTGAGAAAGATGTTCAAACCAAGCTTACTCAGCTCACACTTCAATGTGATGGGAGAGTCAAAAGACTGTTTCATAAAACTCACAGTAATGGTTAAGCCCATTCCCCCCTCCGATCTCATGACCAGCTCTGAGGAATGTTATGGCTGGTTAAGTATAGTAGAGGTTTAACATTCATTTTGAAATACCAAACATTCCACTTTTGTGACGTTTAGGCATCGAAACATCTTATTTAAGGTTGAGGAGGGCGTGTGGTCATTGTAGAAAGAAGCTAAACTTCAACAGTTTGTAGGAAACAACACCGGAAAATAAGTCTCTTTTGTCAAACTAAGTCTTTGTGCACATAACCACCAACAGTGATGTTGCAGTTTCTTGACTATGTTTTTTTTTAACCTTTGCTTCTTAAAGGGAACTTTTACAATCTTTATGGTAACGTGAGCTTCATGACAGGAATACATGCCAATCAAGTATTTTCATATAGAAAACACAGAAAGTTCTGATGCTGCAGCGATTTGCTATTGCCGAGAATATATCGAGATTTAGCTTCAGACAGATGCAGTAGTTTTCAATGTGCTTTACAGCATAATGCATGAGCAGAAACACGCATACATTGCGCAAAACAACTGTTGCTGAGTTCCAATCAAACTTAAACTAAGATATTTAAATCCTAGAAACTATTCACTTCCCTTCTCGGCTTCTCTAAACAGATTAGGACTGATCTTGTCATATTGCTTTGTTAAAACAAGGATCAACAACAAACATGCCCTTTGCACTGTCGCTCTGTTTCTCATTGTTTCACCTTTTCATTTCTGTTTTGTTATTTCCTTGTTTGTAACTTGTAACTTTAACTGTTACCACTCTCTCAACTCCCCGTCTCCCTTTGCGCCCCATCTAAATTTTGTAATCAGACCATGAAATGACTGCAGAGGCTGACAAGAGCGAACCCCTCCTCACTGCTCATCTGAAGAGCTAAAGAGGAGACAAAAAAAGTATAAGAGAGAAAATTCAAAAGAAGAGAGAGCAAGATGGAGACAAGCTAAGGAGAAGTGAGAGGAAAGAGGCAAGAGAGTGAACAGCTGGATAAAAGAGAATCCCAGAGAAAGATGAGAGCAGAGCAAAGTACAAACAAAACAGAAGAGTGCAGCAGAGGGCTGGAGAGTGATGGATAATGTATAAAAAGCAAGATTTGTGCTCTCAACAAGTGCAGATGTGAAACAGGATGGTGAACTAAACTGTAGCAGAGCATTAAAAATAAAGATCAGGGTAACGAGAAGATATCTGACCCTATACCTCTCCTTCAGCCGTAATCTCTAACGATAACCCAGGAAGGATGTGAGTTCACTGAGAGCACAGAGATCAAACCCACCTAGCAGGAGAAGAAGAAAACACACAGAGAAAGGGCCGAGCTTTGACAGGAATGTAGATAGGAGGCTAAGAGCTCGGATGAGTCCTTTGACCGGCTGGAAACCCTGAGGAGTTAAGAATTAACATCTCTCCAAGAGAGGACAAGAAATGAGTAAATTATTGATAATCTTTCCTGCAGATGCTGAGCAAATCTGGGGCAAACAGTTTTCACATATTTTCAGGATCAGGATTCACTGAGGTTTGGGGTTGGTAAAAAGGAAAGCTGGATGTCAGTGTTGACAACATGAGTTAATACTGAGGCTACAAGTTCTCTTACTGAAAGTGAGCGGATCAAATGTGAACGGTATTAATAAAACAATGTCGTACTGTGTTATGCCTTAATCATTCAACAGTTGACTATGAAATGTTGAATGATATTATTCTCATGCCAGCATCATATGTTTCAAATGGAATGAAAGCTTAGTTAAGAGTTTATTTGTCGACTCTCTCTTATATATTTAAATTAACCCGCAAGTAGAATGTGTAGCTTAAAGATAGAGTCAGTAGCTTTTTTCTGAAAATTAAATATAGACTTATACAAAAGCAATGCAGCTCAATCATCACTTATGGGCCTCCATACATGTGTCATGGTGACTCACTGTGTCTGCAGAGACTCTGTCCTCTGCCTGGATTTGGATGTTTGGTTTTGTTTTGGTTGACACGGGCTGTGGAGTGATTTTGCAAATCATTATCTAATAACACCGAATTCTCTGTCTCAACACATCCAGTGGAGAAAACTGACTGACAGTGGAGAGGCCAAAACTGCTAACCTGCTGCTGCTCACATACGTATTCGTCGGTGTCAGGGACGAGCAGGCAACATAGTGCAGCACTTAGTGTCGTGGCTAAAGTGCCACATACTTCCCTCAGGAGCTTCTGGTTAAAACATTGAACTAAAAGAGACAAGAGAGTGAACATTGGACTTTTATCTGTCAGGTAACCAGAGACATGGCTCAGAGCTAATGCAAATGTTGATTTCCATCACCTGGATTTCTAAACTACTTGCTCACGATATCATCTTTACAAATTCACAAGACTGTAATATGTTGATGTTATGCACAAAGCCAAATAAAAAAAAACGAGGAATGAGGAATATTCAAACCCTAAGATATATGATACATGTCTTTTGTCCTTTACAACCTTGACCGCCTGCTCTCCTATTGATCCCGCCATCTCTGTACTTGTTACTCTGGAGCTGAGCATCTAGGGCAAGAAATTCCAGCATACATGCGAAAGCAGACAAATAAACACACACACACACACACACACACACACACACACACACACACACAACACAAGATATATTCAGTATATCCTCCCAGCTGCTTGGTGCACCAGTGTAATTTATGTTCTCTCCATGCCAAATTAATTTTAACACCTGCCTTGGCCATGCAAAGTCTTTCCCCTGTCTCCACTAGTGGGTACGAGTGACTGTGTGTGGGACTGTGTGTGTGTGTGTGTGTGTGTGTGTGTGTGTGTGTGTGTGTGATAGTGTGTGTGCCTGTGTTTGCAGCCCAGTTTGTGAACCCAAGCAGGAGAGAGGAGATAGCAACCTAATAAATCCTCTCCTACTACATCTTCTGCAATAATGAGACACTTCTTATCTTTCCTCCCTCTCTTCTTTCTCTCCCTCTCTCTTTCCTCTCTCTAACACTCTCACACACACACACCCAACCACACACACACCTCAGCAGGGCTACGCACCCAGCGAGATTTGGGCTTCCTCCCTCTCCTTGCTATGGCAACACAACTTTATACTAGAACATTTTTTCCCACAATGAGAGCCCCGGCACTTAAATAGTTGAGATCCCATGGATCATAAATCTTAATCTTAAAGATCTGCAGCCTCCAGAAAAAAAGAGAAAGACTTCTCTAATGTGAAAATGAGATAAGGAAAGGTTAACTAAAGACCAGGTTAGGTCAGTTGACTGAAGAGATGTTAACAAGGTGAGTTTTGCTGCTGTGAAGGAAGTTATTAGTTTCAAGTTTACTCTTTTTTTCCACGAGATGAAAAGTCTTTCCTACAGGAGTTTTTGCTTTCTGTAAATAAGCATCAAGGCTCACTTGATTTAACAACAGATCAACAATGCATAAGGACTAAAATCAGAATTTCCTCCAATTTAGAAGACATTTAAAAACTTAAAACACCATCAAACACTCAGCTGAAGCCATACCAGCAACTGCAGATCCCACCTACCTGCCTCTGTGTTGAGGAAAGGATAAACAGTGGAAAGCTATCTTGTATGACTGCTACCAGAAACTCATTTATAAGCTGTGTTTCAAGGGGAAGTACAAAAATGAGACAGCATTTACAAAGAAAAGAGAAGTGTTTCATGACGCTTGTCAGAGAAGCGGTAGGTAGCGACCGTATTGCATTTCACCCGGTGTGAATATTTTAGAGCACTTCTCCATTGGTGTAGTGAAATGTTACCCTAAACCAGCAGCAGTGATAAGACTCTTCACTTCCCTAAACCTGTGGAGTCAGGTTTAAGAAGACAAACTATTATTTTTGATCTTGCATTTGAGGCCATAGCACCAATCCTCTGGAGTTCCCTGCCCATCTCGTTACGTCTTTCTGACTCTGTTGAGTCTTTTAAAAAGCAGCTAAAAACGTTGATGTTTAGACAGGTTAAGGTAATCAGGTCCACCCAGTCTACCTACTGATCTACTGTATGTTTTACTGTGACAATTATTGTTCCTGGTTACAGCAGGATTTTATCATGTCGATCCATGAAGAACTAATTTGTTCCTGTTTTTATTATATGTATGTTGTTTTTTTAATTTACCTACTAACTTAATTACAATTTAAAGTGATAATATTGATGCAAACTGCTCCAAAAACACTCCACAGCAGTTATTTTTCTCAAGTGTGATGCTGAGCTGATGTTCGTTTGACTTTGTTGTTGAGCACAGTGTCCATGTGCGTAATGCTGGAGGCTGTGCTATGTACCAAAGTTACAAATTTCCCAAGAGACAGCCCCGGGGCTTTATGAAATATGTCACATGTAACACCTTGGGATCTTACACAACAGGCAGGCGAGGATGAAATAAACCAATTACCTCAGAGTGCCTGCGTAAAAAACAAAAGCAACCTATATACCTAGAATAACTTTCCATTTGCAAAAGAGACAACATCCAAAAAAGATTCAACGGTTTTTAAACGTTTTCAGCAGGAAATAGGAATAACTTTCTTACTAACCAACGGGGTCTCAAAAGCCGAATAGCACATTTAGAAGCACAGAGACAAGTGTTTATAGAAATGTACCTAATCCACATAACTTATCATGGCTGTGTGAACTAGTATCATTTAAGTGTGTGCATTAGTCCTCTCTCTGGACTGCATGTCGTCTGTGTTTTTGCTGTAAGAGAGTGCTAGAAAGCATTAGCAGCTCAACACTACCATCAAGTGGTCAAAATAGTGAAGTACAAGCTCGACTTCACTTCCATTGTCACTGCAGTTGCTTTGACCGTCAACATGGCTCTTTCTTTTCTGTCAAATTGCCCACAAGACACAGTTTAAGTCGTCTTGTACTGAGTGCTGTTAAGAATAAAAACTAAGCATTTTGCTTCTACTTATTTTGAAAGTAGGTATTCAAAAACGTTTGATTACTGTACCTACTGTGTCAATTTTCTTTTTAATGTGATCTGATGTCTAAACAGAATGAAAAAATCTAATCCTCTAAACTGCTTCTTAACAGACATGCTACTTGGACTCCCTTTAACAGCTATATCAAGAGAGACAGTGAAGCCACTATTCCTTTCTAAAGAGTCTGAATGTAAATCTGTTGGTATTTCACTCACTTCATGCACTGCAGTGCTGATATTATTCTAGATACATCCAGCACTCAAAGCGAAATGAAACCAAACTATAATCTTAGTTAAGGACAAGGGGAAACCACATCTTACCTTGCAGCTTCTCTTAGCTGTCTCATACGGCCTTGTGGTGAACTGCGCCCCACTTTTCTTTTTTAGGATGTCAACATAACCTGCAAAGAAAAAAAAAACCTTGCATGACTCATCAAAGCTTTTTTTTTTTTTTTTGAGACTCTGCAAAGCAATTATTTCTGTTCCAAAACAGTAAAACTACAGGTGTCACAAAATACAATATATTTGTGCAAACACCTGCAGATTGTGTGTGGTGTGTTGAGTCCAGGATATGTGACCTGGCATAAACGTTTTTTTGGGTGTAAATTTATGAAATATGTTTTTCGATGTACTTTCCTGAATATTTTTTTTATTTTTGTTTACTTCAAAAAGACACATTTAAAAGAGAAGAAGAAGAGAGGAAAAGAAGTAGCCTCCCTTAAAAGGCCCAAACCACTTCAATACTGTGGGTCAATATCAGGACAAAAAAAGAAAACCTATTTGTGATAAAAGTTGCAGAAAGAGCAGATAAGTGGTGTAGTTAATGAATCCAATACATTATTAAAGAAGCCAAACCATTATAAAGAAACACGGGGGGACTCCAAATTGCATCGAGGGTTGTGCTTTAAGAGCTAACATGGGATGCAAGATTTTCTGCCGCACACAGATCGATAAACTGCTGTGAATGAAAACTTTCCCTTGAACTTGCAATAAGTTACAGTTAGTTTCTTTACAACACCAGAGGGAAATGACCATCTATTGATCTGCTCTATGCTTTTCTTTGTCGATACTATATGTCAGGCTGCTGTTTGGGGCTGAGCAGGTATTCTACAGTCGACTTTCAAAGCTTTTCTTCCCAAAGAGCTGTACGCTAAAGCGAAGAACAACACTGTAAGAGCTGTGAGGTGGGAACCAAACAGTGGAGTCATGAGAGAGAAGCAAATAAACAATGAGCTTCAATGTGCTCTAAAGCTTCGAAAAGCTGAGGGGAGCAGACAGATTCAGGTTATTCTTTTTCTACAGGCTCATTATTTTGAGCAACCATTTATTATTCAGATTATCATTTCAGCAGTTATTCCAACAGAAGTATTTTTTTATGGTTGCTTCAAATTCATTTTTGTTGTTGTTTTTTATTTTATTTATTATTTTTATTAATCAATTATTATTGATTGATAAGTATGTATGTATAGGTTTGTGTGGATATATGCATGTACGAAACTGGGAACATGCGTGGGGTGGCTGAGTGGGAACTTGCAGGCAGGCTTGGGAACATATAGCCTCTGAATAATTTATGTTTAGAGTTTTTCCTTGTATTTTTTTCCCCATTGCCTGTTTCGGTTTTAATTTAAAAAACCATTCAATAAAAAGAGAATCAAATTATTATTATTATTTTTTTTAAATGGTTGCTTCAAATTTACTTATTATTGACGAGGGAATAGCATACATGGTGTTGACCTCTTTATGAGAATTTATATTTGACAGTAATTAGAAGTAATTCAAGTCTAATGGATGTCACATGTTTCATAAAAAGATAATTTACTAACACTCTGCTGCTTAATGAAAAAACCTATTATAATTGCCAGGTCAACTCTAACAGCCTCCAAACAATGCAGAACTACAAAAGGCCCCTTCCTGTGTCCTGGTTGGCTCCAGCCACTGTAATGGATAAATTGACCTGGTTTTAAATGACACTGAACACAAATAGAAGAGAACTGTGAAAGATTTTTATGATGAATTGGCATAAATATTAACGTTAATGTTAAAAGAAGAAGAAATGAAACCTATGCTAATTATTTCCATTGCTACAGTAGAAAGGAAAAGACGTTTAGAAATACAGAACCACAATGTTCTCACTAAACCAACACGACACAGGCAACAGTTTATCGACAATGTAACTGGATTTTTCTTTCATGATATTGTTTCTGATTTCCCCTCGAAATAAATAAAAGATATAGTCATGCATCACACAGTCACACACAGATAACATTAACCCTCCGCTTCCATATCTGACTTTCTTCTAACCTTTCATGGTGAGGACACCGCTGCAGAAGTCTTTGAAGCTGATCCTGCCGAGAGAGTCGCAGTCCAGACATTTGACCAAATTCTTCACCTGGTGAGAAGCACAGAGAGAACATGAAGTCAATCAGAGTACACCATTTCTGTTCAAGAAAGGTAATGTTAGGAACGGGTTATTTCCTTCTCTTTATGACTTTTTTAAAGATTCATTTCATATTTAGGATTTTAGGACAGTGGATAGAGCAGGAAATCAGGGAGAGAAAGTAGGCAATGACATCAGGGAAAGGGAACACACGTCAGACTCGAACCCGGCCCCCACACACACACACACACACCACCTTTTTTTATCTGAACCAAGACTAAAGGCAGATGGATGTTTGAATCAAACAAACCTCATATGAACTATCCCACTTACAGTACAATGAAAGTGACCAAAGCATGGCCTTTGCACACTGTGACTCATGGACCTCCCACATTCACATCGCTGAAGAGGCCTGCAGCCGAGGACTCTCCATTGTTGAATAATACATTATGCTCTTTGCTACCCACCGCCAGCACAGTTTTAACAGCACTAATTTTAGCAAAGTTTGGAGTCAAATGGAAACAGCCTCTGGGATTTTGTAGGTTAAAATACAACAACTGAAAGGTGGAGATACTGTAGAGCAACACGTCTCTTTCAGTTTGGATAGAAATGGTTTTAACTATACGTTTTAAACATTTCTCAAGTATTACACTCCGTTATTTAAACATAAAAACACACTTGAATAAGTTCCATCACACCCTCTTTTGTACTGCTGATAAGTGAATGTTAAGATGTTTTGATTTGAGGCCCATTGAATACTTTTAATACATCAAAATCTATTTGGATCAAATCACATATTAATAGACTGTTTTGTAAGTCATCAGTACGGCTGTGCAATTAATTGTGGCTTTATAGTTATTGCGATATCACCCTCAGTGAACAGTAAACACATCAATCACAATCACCAATTTCATGCAGCCAGTTTTAAGGGTGCCAAACTGTAAGGGGAACACTCTTTCATTCCTCCCTCCATATCACTGCTGAACAAAAAGAAGAGCATTTCCAATCATTACCTAACCTGGGCTGCACATGGACTGTGAGCACTTAAACATTCTCATATACAATCTCCTAACATTATATATTTATGTCACTCCTGTGATTCCACACTGTGATTTTTACTTGATACTTGTTGTTGTTTTTACGTTCTGTCTTTTAAATGTGATGGGACTTGATTGGGATGCGAGGGTTTCTGAGCTTGTTACAGCGTGCATTACAAATTTCAGCGCAAACACACAATAAAGTGTTATCGTATCTTTTCTCAGATGAAGCTAAAGGTAACTATAAGCTATCCTTATTAGTGCCGGTTAAGTGGAGGAAAATGAAAAGGTTTTGAGGATTAGTTTTGGATTCAGGAGGGACATGTTGCAAACACAGGAATAGTATGTTTCATTTAACCTTTATCTAACCAGGTAATTAACCCATTGAGATCCAGATCTCTTTCACTAGGGTGACATTAAGATCAGCAGATATACAAAGAAACTGAGTTATAGCTATAAGCACTCTTTATTTTTCGTTTATTTATCGCCATTGTCGCTACATTTAAAAAATTGTAGCACACATTGGCATATCTTTCTCATATCGTACAGGCCTGTTAGGTGCTGAGTCTGACATGCTAATTAGCGTTTCTGATATTGCCCCATTTACTGAGGACAAACTGAAGGGGAACGAAAAAGAGGTCAGAGGAGAAAAGTGTAGGATATGAGCGAGTGCACATTTACATGTGACAGTTCAACTGGGAGAGAGAGTCACCTACTGGGTCCCATTGTAGGTCAGGTCGTCACGAAGCAGCCGCTGGGATTTACGCATATAGGACAATGACATGAGAGGACAACGCATGCAGTGGGACGAGAATTTTGCTTTAGACAGTTCATTAGGCATAGCAGAGGTGTACATGTGGTACTTTAAGGGGCGTTTTTGTTTTCTGTGTTAAAAAATGTATTTCAATACCAGAATATGAGCACTTTGATTTGATCACTAAATACAAACGACCCATTAAAGTAATCATTAAAAAAAGGAAAAAGGTCATAAATGATGATGCACTGTGAAATGACGAAGAGTGGGATCTTCTCTTGACTTGACAAATTGCATCGCCTTCCTCATTGTCAAGCCTTTTCCCAGGTCAGTGAAAAGCTTCCCCCAGGAACTAATCAGTGCGTCTGCAATGTTCCTGCTGATGAGCAACACAACACTGGGGAGCCAATCAACGTCGGCGATCAATTAACCTGACGTACAAGTGAGACACAAAGCCGCAGGGATGTGAAACATGTGCACTAAAGATCCATTACTGTTGATGGAAAAAAGTTATGCTCTTTGGGTCACAAAGATGCAGAGCATGCAACATTATTTTACCCTTTGTGTTGGAGGTTTGTCTTTCAACACAAATTGAGCCTCAAACCAAAAATACTCTCAGTCAGATGAAACTACAACTTGACTAGAGCTTACTGGAAAAACACTTTGGGAGAAAATTACTTGAACAGTTTTTAGGCCTCAATTATCTAATTAGGACATCCACATAGTAGTCTTTGTTTCTGAAATTCATAGACACTCTGAGGCATAATAACTCAAACAGCACATCATCGCCACAGTTCAGAGTCGAGTCGATTATTTTTGCATGTGAAACAGTGCAGCAGAAGTGACTGAATAAAGAGGTCGGTTGAGGTCATTTTTCCAAAAACAACTTTCAGCACAGAGGAGGGCCAAGAGCTACAAGTATGAATAAATCATTAAACCATTTTACCACAGAATAAACCAACCCAACAGGTTACCGGTCTTCTTTAAGACATCAGATGTGACATGTGAGGGGAACAGTCTCTGTAGATTCACCAATAGTCTTTTCTTAAAGATCAATACACAATATAAATGTTCTTCATCAGGGCCTCTTATGATGAGTGTGTAAGTATTTCTGAATGTAATTCATTTATAGTTGCAAAAACAAACTTGAGTCAAAACTATTTCATACTAGACCTATTCTTTAAGTTCTCATCCTATCTTCAAATTACATTCCTTTATTTCAGTTTGCTTACAACAGTCACTGTTTTGATTTGAATTGACAGAAGTTTATTGTCAGACTCAGACACGAGCCCCGTGTCCACTGGAGGAACTATCCCCAAGAACTATGGTCTTTCTGAGGAGATGCATGCGTTTCCACCAAATCCACCAGGGTAGAAATGTAGTTCTAAAAAAGACCTATTCAGAGGCCTTAAACACCTTAATCGTGCTTTGATGGGATTCAGCTTTAATTTGAGTATTGACCGGTGAACAAAAGACTGTTTCAGTCTGACCTTATTTAAAACGTGGGACCCTGTATCGCCGGTTTGATGGTAGTAGTTTATATTCTGTGTTCAGAGTGTGGTTAGGATCAGAGGTTATGCTGTTAGCCAGCCTTAACATGTTTTTTTTTTTTTTATCATAGGCTGATAGAGTCTCTGCATCGGTTGGCCTACAATCTTTGAGCAGATGTTTAACTGTTGGAGCAGTTTAGACTTTAAAGTAGTGGACAGACATACCATGAGCAGTTCTGTTTAATATGACTGACTGCCTGACTTTCTTTAGATGTTGGATTATGTTAAAGATGGATCATGGTTTTGACCCGTCTTACCAAATCAGCTCAGAAATGTTTATATTATGAAGCATTTGCATTTTTCAGTGGTCAAAGTTAAAAGTCAAAGACATATTTGCTCAGTAAACATTTAGGTTACTTACTTTCCTTCTCCAGCTGACTTTAAACAACATCTTAATCCACTCATTCAGATCAGACAAGGACCCTAAAAGAGGAGCAGGCCATTTGCTGGACTCCCCCTTTCCCACTTTACCCACTGCAGTGCAAGGAAACAAACTTTTCTTTCTAATATGGCTCCAACCTTTAAAACTAAAATTAGGAAACTTTCTCTGAAACAGTGATTTACCCAGGGTCTAGCTTAGCTCTCACTAATTGGCCTCTCGTGTGTCAAAACCTAAAAAGGCACTACAACCTGAAAGCCTTAGTTGTCTAATTTCAAGAAGCAAGACAGCCTCCAGTAGTATGCAGAGTTTGGGAGAATAATGAGGACACAGTCTGAGCTTTAAAAAATGGATGTAAGAAGAAGAGTAGGCACTACTGAAGGTGGAATAACACGTTCTCTCACCTGTTCTGCTTTACCAAACTGCGACCCCAACTGCACCAAGTCTTCAAGGAGGATGAGACCGTCCGAGTCCGCGTCACACACGTCGAACACCTCTTTGAGTTTCCTCACAAATATCAGCAGGTGCTCCGGCTCCGGTAAACACTCTTCATCCATCTTTTTGGGGGCTTTATTAATTCGCTTTCGGGGTGTTTCTCCATGGCGTGAACCTCAAAGGCACCATGTTGTGTTGGGCTGTGCGCGCGCGCGAGTGGGAAAGCGGAGGAGCTCGTGGATGCTGCTTGGTTCCGCGCGCGAGAGGCGGAGTGATGCTGGAGAAGAGATACAAAAAAGGTCTCAACCCGGAAGCGAAGGTCAGGAGAACAATGTTTTCCCATTCACAGTGTAGTGTAGGCTTTTTGTCTGCATTTTTCGGCTTCACTTAGTGTTGGTAAAATAATGTGTTGCTAAAGCAACGCAAGTTAAGAGCAGGGGCGTGTCCAGACTTTCTTTTTAAACTGGGGTGGCCCACCTGGGGCACTGACTTATGCAGGGGTGGCATGTGTGTGGGCACACTCACGCAAATGCATTCCTTAAAAAACAATAATAATAATTGCATTAAAGAGGAGTATATATATTTAATCTATGTTCCTACTTTTGTACGTTCACAATAACTAAAGTCGGAAAAAAGTGTCTGTTTTCATGTACTGCTCCTCCTTGCTCCCTCTACACTCTGAGTCTTTCAGCTACACTCTGTTGAGCCCACACTGTTAGACCCCATGTGGGCCAAGTCTGCTCTGATTGGTCTGCCGATCCGCTCTGTCGTTATTGGTCAGTTACTCAGCACGGGTCTCGGAAATTTCAACATGAGCTGCTGGGCTTGCCACAACGAGCCAATGGGCTTAGATCAGTGATCTCACACTGACAATGACGCCGCACTGACAAATTTTTATTTTTATTTTTATCGAGGGGGGCTAGAACCGAGCGTTACATGCGGCTAATGCTACAGCTAACAGGAGGACGTAGGAGAAGCCCGTTGAATTTTTGCACATAGATGTGCCTAAACATACACAGGACACTTGGAAAACACACTAAAGAGCATATAAAACCAGAAAAAGCATAATATGGGATTGAGGTCACATTACAGATTGGCTAGAAAGGTAAAACATTGTGTTGGAAGAACACTGAGAGTCCTAATTGTGGGAATTTAAACTTCACCAACTCTACAGCAATGCTAGTTCATTGTCTTGTTCTTTGTCAAGTTGTTACAGTAAATGCAAACATCAGCATGTCAGCATGCTCAAAATGAAAACACTAACACACTCAACATTTAAAAAAGTCAGAGTGAATGCAAGTTGCCATGTCACGGACACAGAAGCTCATAGTATTTAATCAGTGATGCATCGGCCTTGAAAGAAATACATGATTAGAAAATAAATATGTCTCTAAATTTCCTTGCGATGTACGTGTACAGATTTTCATGGAAACACAAATGAGGACCCAACCCAGGTTTTTTATGGCCGCAGAACCTGCAACTTTCCCCTTCTCCCAAAACTGTGTTTGGACTACAACAAATATGAAACCTCCATGAAATGTATCTTATTGAAAAGAAAACTTTGTGATTACTGTCTGTTTTGAAAAACAAACAACAATCCTGGAAATGGTAAGACAACTTACTTGAAACTCAATCTAATCATAAGTATTTGTGATCCCAGTTCATTGTTGCATTCACAATTTATAACTCAGTCTTTAACTCATTTGACTCTTAATCTTGCGTGGTCTTCATGAAAGTGATGTGATCTAAACCCCTTTTCATATTTATGAATTGAAGTAAATCGAATTGATCACACACACTTTAATGCTGCCGTTGGCTTGACTTCTGTCTCTCTGTTGTGGAAAATAAACCTTAAAACTTAAACTTTAGAAAGATTCAAGTTCAGGGGTTGTTGATACAGTTCATGAATATCTTGTCCCATCTGACCATGACCCAATTCCTGGTTTCTATAATCAGATTTCTCTGTTCTTCCATCGTCTGTAAGGGTGGCTGCTTCAAACCTTTTTATTTTTAAACCTTTTTTAATCCCATTAAAATAAGTATTTTTTGTGGACAACTATTTAAATGGTTTTAGAGCCATTTTTAAGTAACAGATAAATTAAAGAGAAAAAACTATTTGCTCATTATTATGAACATATTTAGCATAATGAATATTTTCATATTTGACCCACAATAACAGGAAGATCTTACAGCATTAGACCATCATTTCTGATTTTTATAGCGGAATACATTTATATTTTTTCTGTCTCAGAAAGTATTATTGAAGGGTAGCATTTGTTCTCATCTTTATGGGGTTGCAGCAACTCTTTGAGGAACTTTATTTTTTTGTGTTTATTTTTAAAGCACATGTATCCCAGCCTAGTGTCACAAGATAACCTGTTTGGAAATATTTTCTCCATTCACACGGAGATATTTCTACATCAGGGTCAGTGAGACTTGGGCTTAGTTTATGCTCATCATAGCACACAACCGAGCAGGGGACTCCAAAAAAGGAAGTGTGTTTACCGCCTCAACTTCCCCAATCGTTCTGTCGTCAAGAGGATGTCATACGTATTACAAAAACAGAGAGCGAGAGAGAGAGAGAGAGGGAAAGAGAGAGAGAGAGAGAGGGAGAGCGAGGACGCACTCAGTCTTCTTCTCGTGTCAAACATGCAGGTTGTTGGTGGTAGAAAATCATTTTGGATTTACCCTCTACTACTTTCCTTTCAACATTTTTGGGGTGAGTAATCAAACTCTAGTTGATCTTAAATGCTTCTTTTACTTTTAGAGATATACTTTTTGTGAGAGAGAGAGCTGCTGCCGTCTGTTTTTCAAATGAGCTGTTGAGATTTGATGGATCTTGTCGTTAGTTGTCCCTTCTCTTGAAATGCCCCCTGGATCATGTCACAAATCAGAGTTTTTCCAACGGGTGACTTCTTTTGCATAATAACGAAACTCTTCTCAGCAGTTAGGTATATTGTATTGTCAGTATTAAGTGGATGTGGCACAACAGATACACATTGGCTTTTGACATTGGTGGATGCCAGATTACTTTCCAGTTTATCAACAGGGACAAGATCAGTCGATACTAATGTTCAACCCATTAATTTATTAAATAGTTTGAAAAGACAAAAAAAGGGAAATTGCCATATCATGTACAATCCTTTAAACAAACAGCGCCGTCTGTTTTACGCTTTCTTAACTAATTGTTTCATCACCTGCAATCACCGGTGTGTTACAAATGTAGCGCAACCTCATGAAGCAATCCCAGCAGTGTTTTAAAGTACATTCCCATGGCTAAACACTCTCTTTAGCTAAAGAAGGAATTTGTACAACTCCTTTGATGCCTGTTGGACTTGAAAATCTTTTGTCGACAGGAAGACTATCAGCCTCCACGTCCCCTCCCAGTCTTCCAGCTCCTAAACTTGACATCCACCTGAGGACCGAGGAATCAGTGGTATTGGTCTGCAGGGCCTTCCACCGAGGGGTCCTCTTCATGCTGTACAGATACAGAGATATGGTAACTATTTGAGTGTGTGTTTTATATTGTGTCTTGCCTGGGCCAATGTGATTTGATTTTGCTCCTCTTGTTTGATTGAGGTGGACTCTCGGGAGGTGCAGTCAGGCGCTGAGGAGGTACAGTTCACTGTGAGGGTGCAGGGCGGAGATTCAGGCCGACTTGAGCTCTTCTGCTGTCTGTACAAAGACCAGGCCGGTCGATACAGTGCCTTCAGTCCGTATTTGCAGCTGGAGTCCCAAACAGGTATGTCTGTGGTCCAACCTACAGTAATAGCTGTGTGAAGCTGCAGCTCCCCATTTCATTAAGAGTAGAACACAAAAGTGGTTGTACAGTTAAACGTGTTCAAGCTGCCCCTCCCCCTCCTGGTTCTACATGAGGTTTTAAAATAATAAACACTCCCATCCGCTGCTGCATGCAGGTGCTTTCTGTGGTCTCTCATTGTCTTCGGCTCTGTGGGTGTGTGTAGTGCTGTTACATCCTGCTCTTCATATAGAAACCACACACCCACACACACAGTTACCAAAAACATCAAACAGAATGTGTACTGGCTACGGTTACGAGGAGAGGTTTAGCTGGTACATGTGGCAAACCGAGGTTGTTAGCACACTTAAAGACCAGCTAAATAATGTTTGGCATTTGGCCACAGCCATGTTGGTTTTCACAAGAACGAGGTGTTGGTTATAAAACCTTTACAACCTGTGCCTATTGTTAATTCATAACCATTGTATTTACCTCTTTGTGGTGGGGACAGACTACAACTGTTTATTTATCAGACTAAGAGCTGGGAGAGCTTGTGGAATGTAGTGGAATCGCAGCTTTCCCAAATGTCCAGTGAGAGAAAAGCAGGTGAATGACGCACATTTGGTTACTTAAAATAACAAGTCTTCTTGTCACTATAGAGCACCATAATCTCTCCAGGAGAAAGCCAACAACAATCTTGACTCCTACGCAGCCTGGGCCGACAAGTAAATAACTGTTTTGATATCACTGAATGAGCTAACATACTTCATAAAAATACTATTTTGCGTGCAGAGAATCCGGATCTGATCCATATATAAGTTTTCTTTCATTATTTTTGTTATCAGATTTCTTGCCGCTGCCCACCCTCGTTCTCCAGCAGCAGACAGACGTGTGGCGTTTGCTCTGCAGAGGCTCTTCTGCGTACCCCGGTGGTCTGTTCTCCCTCCACCTGGCTGATCAAGAACTCCCTGTTGCCGTTCAACGTGCCAACTTGATTCACCATCAGGTCACCTTCCCAGTGCCGGTCCAGGACACGCCACTGGCTTTATACCAGTGCCAGTACAGCGTCCTACTTGGAAATAAATGGAGTAACTCTGAACGGAGCCTCCCATTGGCTGTCTCAAGAGGTACTGATTTACAGTCAAACTGTACAGTATGTGTATGGTTTGGTAAGCGTGTCGATTTAACATAAAACTTGACTGTTTGCTCCTTATCTCCTCTTTCAGGACTTTCCCCTCCATCATCATCAGGTAGACAAACATTATTCATTATTTTATGTGAAGCTCTACATTTTTGAGTGTCAGAAAGTAAAAGAAAAAAACCTTTTAGTGCTAAAACAAAATAAAGTCAGAGCCATATAAACTGTGATTTAGCAATTTGATAGCTGCATTTACTCTTACTAATACTTCTAGTTCAGTGACCATATTTATACACCTCACACACTAATGTAAGTGTGATGTTTGCAGGTGTGGACTGGCCTCTTGTTCTGGGCTCTTTCTCTGCTGTGGTTTTGTTTCTCTGTTCGCTGGCACTTGTTGTTGTTGTGGCACACAGGAAAGGTATTGCACACATAAATCTCTAAACACTTCTGTTTTCTCACTTAAAAATGACGCTGTCGTGATTTTTTTCTGTGTGAAGCGTAACACATGTCTCGATTGTTTCCTTTTCTCCTACTCTCAAGTAAAAGCAGCAGCAGAAGAAAAGAAAAAAAGGTACAGGCTTCATCGATGATTAGACAACTTTGTGTATAAGTGATATTTATGTGAACAGCCTTACAGCGGTGACACATTGATAACATTTAGAGTATGTTTACAGTAGACATTTCCCTCCACAGCTGGCCTGTGATTTAGAGTTCAACTATGTATAAATGACAACTGAGGGAAAAGTGCACTTCATAAAACCCTCTCAATATCCATTTCTTATCATTTCTCGCTTTAATAAGCTTTAGGTTATAGCTCTGTGAGGTTGATTTTTAGATAGCTTGGTACATTAGATGTGTGATTGCTCTGTTGTTCGTAATAAATGTCACTTTTTTTCTGTTTCAGAGAGGAAGCACAGTTTTGGACTCAAGTTCATTCTAAGGATCATGTTGTTGGTGAGTTCAAAACCAAATTCCTTTTATTTTTATTTTAAGGCAGTGGCTGCAGTTCTGCAATTTTATTGCATGAATTTACAAAACATGAAGCAATACAAAACTTGACAATGTGCTGTCTTGTTGTTGTTGTTGTTGTTTTTTTTGCAGACCTGACCCTCAGACGTAGAAGCCTCACCTCTCAGGTAAATATTCATCAACACCTACATCTCAACTGGCAGATAAATAATCTTGGAGAATTTCTAAAACATGATTAAGTTTGCAATAACTTTTTTTTTTTCTTTTTGTACTTACCTTCGCTTTGATTCATGGCCAGCTGGCTTTTTTTGTTACTAAAAAAATCCCATTAAAGGACAGGCGTTGTGAATATTTTCTGATTTCTCCATACCTTCTGTGGTACTCAGCGTCAAATCCATTGATTCCTGCAGGAGAATTCAATTCAACATTAATTCAGACTCAAGTATAGCAGAAAGCCAGAAATTAAAAAAACACAACAATACAAAGGATAATATGAAATACATGAACACACACACACAGACATTCACACATTTACATAAAACTACAATCTGAAGATCTAACATGGAGGCACCTGTGCCAGCGTCTCCAGAACTGAGACTGTAGTTGGACTGTAATACACTTGATGCTCAACACAATAAGACCTTCAGCGGCATCAACTCTGCACATAAACCGGTATGCAAGACTTCTTAGTGCAGCTTTGAGAATATCAACTCTTAAGGTCACAAACATCTCACTGGCTCCGCAGCCGCTCGATCTCTTGAGCAATACTCTCAAAGTGTCACTGTCAGCTACTTGCAGCCTCTGTTTACTCACTGTCATGTAGTTTACCCATAAGTGTGAAGTATACAGTACACCAGTGTACAACACGCTCTAAGCAGACACTGTTAGACAACACCTGTACACAGACTGAGGTCTGCTTGTGCACACAGCTTACAGCATTGCCTGTAAATATCATCATCTTCACATCAAGATAATTATCAACCAAATTAAAACCAGCAAAGTTCTGATTCTTGTTCTCTTTGGTGCGACAGACCATCTCAGAGCATGCAGTCAGCAGTTGTATTTACACCAGCATTTCTTGATATGAAAACAACCAGATCGTCTGCATTCATACGATTGGTCACTGGACTGTTACTGATCATGCACCCACTATTACAGGATTTCAACCACAGGCACAGACAACCAACATAAAGATTAAAAGAACGGTTGGTGCCGGTAGCATATAGCGGTTAGTGCTTGCACTCCATGTACCGAGGCATAGTCCTCTAAGCGGGCGGTCCGGGTTCAAATCCGACCTGTGGCTCCTTCCCAGCATCTAATTCCCCACTCTCTCTCTCTTCCTGATTTCTGACTCCATATCCACTGTCCTAGCTCTAAAATAAAGGCTAAAAAAGCCCACCAAAATAGAACTGGGGAGAGAAATCCACCTTGTCTAACACCATTACTTACTCCAAATGAGGCTGAAACTCTAAGGCCCTTTATACCAGAATAGTCTGGTGGGTGTACCATGATGTGAATCTTAAAAATAGGTCACACATGTATAGTCACATTATTAAAAAAAGGATACATGTTTTCAGCTGTCTTTGCAAACAGTGCTAGAACTGACATAAACACTTTTAAATTGGATGAATTTACTGCTGGTTGTAATACTTTCATGGGATTCCTGGACAATAAGCAGAACATTAAATTGCTCTTAATTTTACCTTAAAGCGTGTTAAACACTGCAGTAGTAATGATGTTCATTTTTACATAGAAATGAAGCTGCTCATTCCCTTTTTTCTGACCTCTTCCTTTGGTATTTGTGGCATTTCTGCAGCCTCCATGTTTGTCCTTCAGATTCCCTTTGACAAACAACGATTCATCTCCCTGACTCCTTTGCTGTAAACACACACAAAAGCACACACATACTGTATGTATTACGCACTACATACAAACCCACATGGACTCCCTATTATCCCAGATACTTTGATACTGTTGTGCAAGGGTTCTGATCTGCCTTTGCATTGGTTGTAATCACTTTCATAATTAATAAGCCGAACGGCCCTCTCCAGGCTTTCTCTCCTTCTCTTTGTGTTACTGAAGGGCCATGTTAGAGGACAGATCGCTGTCATCACCAGCTGACAGAAAGACCAACCAGCTATCATGAGACGGCCCCGACGGGAGCTGAATATTTAATATCAGATGTGTCTGGATCTGGAGTGTCCTTGTTTTACCTTGTACGCAAAGGAAGCAAAATGATCAAGAAACACAACCATTTTTCATTCCCTCAAGACAAATGCTTCTTCTTTTTGTACATACTGCTGCTGCAATGCAAAAGGACAAAGAAGTTCCTTTTTTTAAACACAAACTGCAGACAGTTCAATTATTATTTTTTTTTTTTCAGTTTAGAACTCTGGCAAAACCTTATTCTTGTGCCATGGTGATATCATTCAACTCAAAAGGAGGTCCTTAAATAATGTGTGAAAGAAGAAGTGATTTCTTAGTTTTGAGGAAGTGCAGAATACATCCACATCTGCAGAAAAGAAAGACACTTTGCTCATATCGGTTTTTTTTCGCTGGAAAGCAGATTTTCTTCTTCGAAACAATCATGATGGATAATGTCTGGAAAGAAGACTGTAGACTACTGTTAATGTATTTCGTGGAAGGGTCAGACAATGGGAAATTTTGAGGGGTGATGTATTGGCAAACAGCGGCAACCTTCATGTTTGAGAAATGAAGCCAATGAGGAAGTGCAGCAAGCTGTAATTCCTTGAGTCTGAGGCAATCCCCATTAAGCCCCATATTACTGTAAAATGCCATTTTTTTTACAGCAAATTAAACATGTTTACAGCCTGTTACACAAAAAAAACATATTTGGTATCAATAGCTCATTTCTTTATTGGTACACACTGTGGGTGATTTTTTTTCATATAACTCACCCATTTAAATGTTATTAAGCCCTAAAAGTTATTTGTAAATCTGCACCATTAGGGGTGTGGCTGATTTGAGTGACAGGTGGACACGTTGTAGCTGTTTGCAAGGAGGTTAAAAGCCGCCTCAGCTCCACCTCTTTGCCTGTATTTAGATTGATCAATAGTTAGAGTGAGACAGCATTTCTCAAACAGCGACCGCAATCATTCAGCTTCATAACACCTCTTCAGAAACCAACGACTGATGTCACTGAAACTACGTCCAGCACATGATCGGCAATGATGAAAGGGATAATAAAGTTGCAATATACCTACAATATTTGGCTGAATTTCAACGATTTAAAGTGTAGAATAGTTAAAGCAGCTGTATGATATGAATTAGACAAAAGATGAGATGTATAACAGCTTGCACATGTGTGTTTTTATGTGTATGTGCAGGAATGGGCCAGTGCTGACAGGACTACAGAGGGCAGCTCCAGATCTCCTTTATGGAACTCAATGTCTACATTCACGAGCCCGATCCATCAGATCCATTAGAAAAGTTTGTTCTCTCTCTCTCTCTGTCTCTCTCTGTCTCTCTCTCTCTCTCTCTCTCTCTCTCTCTCTCTCTCTCTCTCTCTCTCTCTCTCTCTCTCTCTCTCTCTCTCTCTGTCTCTGTCTCTCTCTCTGTCTCTCTCTCTCTGTCTCTCTCTCTCTCTCTATCTCTCTAAAATTGTACTATTGGACCAGATCTGATGTTTGTTTGATCTTACATGTCTCTGAGCTAGAGAATATTATTATTATTATAAAAGTGTGACAGTCTTTTTTTAACAATATGTTTTACTTTAGATAGAACAAGATGACAAGAAAAACCTTTAGGTAGAGCTTTAGGTTATTTAATGTGATCATCACCTTCTTTGTAATATAATTGAATGCATGAAATGTGTGGACACGGTGTGTGAATGCTTTGTCATAAACTCCACTTGTTTAACTGTTTAGAGTTCACTTATTGAACAAAAATACGTCATAGTAGATGTGCAGTTCCTTCCAGCATCCTAAATAAATGTGTCCAATCTTTTACACTTTTAACTCCATGTGGAGCTTGAACAACACATTTTGAAGTTACATTGATATCTAGTTATAGTAATACACTTTTATATTGCACTTACTTCTTTTAAACAGAGATTCAGCAGTAGAGATTAAACAGTAGTTTAAATGGAAAATAAAACAACATTATATACACATAACTTACTATATTACTGTAGTTACTAGATACATTACAGATAATAACATTTACATTAACATCCAAATGCAAACAATTTGACCAAATCAGATTGTTCACAAAAGCCTTTTGATGAAGGACGTTTTTATTAAAATGGACATGGCTGCTGATTTTAACAATCTGGCGGATGTTCAGGTTCATTAGGGGCCGTAATAGCTCAGTCTGTCGGGACTTGGCTATGGAATTGGAGGGGTTGTCGTTTCAACCTGCACAGATCAAATATGGAAATCAGGACTGGTTGATGGAGAGGTGGCGGTTCTCTTCCCTGGCACAGCTGAGGTGCAAACCCCCCCAAAGGCAGCAAACCCCCCCACCATAGTGCCCGGGACACCCATCCGTGTGCAGCGCCCTCACTGACACCTCCCCATTAATGCATGCCCATTAGTTTGTGTATATGTGTGTGTGTATTCCCAGAAAATATGTATGTGTGACACATCTCTCAAAAATTTACCAAAATAAGTTATAATCTAAATCTCGGGCGCACACAACAAATAGGTTCCTGCCTGAGGACCTCAGGTTGATAATGATGGTGTAATAAAAACAATCAGGTGTTTGCCCTGTAATTCAGAATATAATCTGAAAACAGTGTGTCTTTAAATATGTCACATGTGCTGGCAAAGCTGTTTACAATGGGTCAAGATTATGAAAGAAATGACAAACGGACAGCACTTACAGGGAACAGCCTGCTGTAGTTTTGTTAAATATCCTGCAGAGGGCACTGTTAAGACATGATATAAATGCAAGAAACACACCTGCAGAAAAAAAAAAAAAACACATAGTGAACAGCTCATTTGTTTAGTGGAAGAATTTGTCTGTGACTTGCACGAAGCCAGTCATGCACTGAAATGTGCTTTCGGCTTTTACCGGGGGATGATGGTAGAAGAAGAATCATGGATGGTAGAACATCTTGTTTTTTATCTTCTACATTGTAGGTGAGTGTGCTGAGACAGTGAGAAAGTAAGAAAGTGAAAGGACACAGGAGGGAGAGCTACACCTTCCACCTGTTTATGTGGTTTTTATGGTGGACAATAACTCAGCAGAGAAGGCCTGTCATACAAGAAGCTACAAAAAGTCAACTCTGTATTAGGACTGAGTTTTATTACATTTGTCTGCACAGGACTTCCTATCAGCTGCAGACCTGCACACAGGGAATGTATTTATTCATTTGTATTTCCTCAACACAGACTCTCTCATATTTTATGTCTGAACCATTGTGTGGGCAGACGCACGCATGGAGAAGATATTCAGCTCCAAATAATGGCTGATCTGTTGGAATAGGAGGCAGTGCAAAGGTGAGGAGCCTGAATGATGGAGTTCAACATGCTGGCGAATCTGAGTGGCACCTTCATTCGCACCCACATTACGCTGACTTGTGGCAGCTAGAGGCAGTGCTTGTCAACAGGCATTGTACAAATGTGTGCATTATTGCTGTGAAAACCAAAGTTTGTCAATGGAAGTCAACAAAGAAAAATTAAGAGGAATTTACCGTATTTACTGTCTTTAGGAGAGAGCGCCCCCCAATTGATTTTTGCTTAGGGCCCTACCAGAGTCTAGAATCACCACTACTGGCAGCATCCCCCTCTGTGTCTCCATGAGTGTCTGAGTGTCTGACGCACTCAGTTTTAGTCAGATCTATATGAAGTGACTTTTGCTATCTTGAAATTCCTCATACAGTAATTGCTCTTAGCAGCTCATGCTGCGTCTCCTATATTAGTGAACAAAGTATAGTGCAGGGACTGAACAAGAAAGGTGTAGGCTTTTCATTTCCCACCTGAAGGTTTTTGGCGCCAGGGTTGGGTTAATAATTCAGTTCTAGCTGATGCAATGCACTTTAGTCATCTGGTAAGTCATGACTTTAGATTGACAGGCAAATCACACTTTTCATTTTGCAGGCTGTTCACCTGCCTCTAGTGCCTTCACAGGAACAATATCACACAGCTTTGTGAAAGGGCTTATGTTTCAAACTATTGAGTGTTACATTTATGTAACACATGTAAGTGAACAAAGCTGGAATTGTGAGCAGCATCTACGAAAGCACCTTTGACCTTTTTGCACTCTTCACTGACTGGCTAGGAGGCAGACTGTATATGATCTTAAAAAGAAGAGCTACATCATTACAACACAAAAACACGTCTGCTTTACAAATGCCAGGAGATTCAAAGTTAGCCTGTCTCATATGACCATCAAACATTAATCAAGTGTTTGCCGATTTATTTTGACAAACTGAATTCTCTTGTAGATATCCTGTCAGTTGTAGTTACAGGTGGTCTGAGAGTGTCACCTGGTGAGATAACAGCAGGCTGACTGTACCTCCTACTGTACTCGGAGACAGTTTGGAACATATTCTTTATGTAGCCACATTACTGAGCGCATTTGTTGTATTATCTGACTGTTCAAAAGTGATGTTGATGTAACAGCAACAATTTAAAGTCAGGTGGTGACATTATCGTTTGTCATACATTTAATTCTCTACACCTTCTTTCTTAAGTTTCTTAAATATCAGGGTTTTATCATGATAACTAGTCTACAAGCAAACAGAACGGGTGACTAATCAACATTTATTCATCGTTTGTCATCAAGAACATTGGTTCTCAAGAAGTGGGTCGGGGCCAAGAGGTGGGACGCGGAGCCATTTTCAGTGGGTCACAAAAGTTTGCCTGGAAAAAACCTTATGCAAAACTGTTTGTGAAGCGCTTTATAAACATGTTTGTTTTGTTCAGTTTCTTGCTTCTGTCACATGTTTTGTACCCAATGAGGTCTAAACTTTTTTATTTTATTTCAGTAAATAAGTTTAATTGGTCGAAAAATATCAGAAAGCGGTTTTTCCAGAGCAGTTGGTGGAGGGTCCTGAGGCTGGACAAGTTGAGAACCACTGATCAAGAGGATATATTCCTCAATGCACAAAAAAAGACGAAGCCAAGATATGAATGATACAGTTAATGCTTCCAGTGAATGACTGTTAAATATGTCTTCTCCACCTCTTAATAAAACACAACCCAGACTGCATCCAATGCGCTGTCACTAGGTTTATGTTGATTCTCCGTGACTCAGAGCCGCCTTTATGTGACCTCTTCTCTTGAACATCAAAGCAGGACACCCACATCAGGCATTATGAAATTCTAAAGGATAACGTGTGAGCAAATCAAAGGAATCAGCTCCGGCTCTCTTTTATTGTCCGTTGACAGAGCAAACAGAGGCACTGGAGATCAAACACATACTGTAGTTAATACGTTAAAGATGTAAAAACTGGCTGTTCATAAGGTTTTTTTTATTTTTATATAGCTAGAGCAAAACGGTTCATTCTGCAGGAACGATGACTTTCAATGCTTACAAATCTTCAGCATGACTAAGTACAAGATCAGTTTTATCAATTGCAACTTATAGTAAATACAGAAAAAAAACTGAATGAAGTTTATTCTGGACATCTTCAAGAAGTGCAAATTGAGCAGTTTCTGAAGTAATTGTTACAAAAGACAAGAAATGAATCGGGTTATCTTTTTTAAGATACCTTAGGTTTTTATTGATGACAAATGTGTACTTCAGGTAGCACATTTAACATGTTACTAAAAAACTGAAGGTTTAAAACATATATCCTGTTTATCTTTCATGTAAAAAGGAAACTAAGTCCACCTTTATACCTGACCTTGATTGTTGTGATGTATTGTACATAATGCCTCTGCTTTAAGCCTTCATACGATGGAGAGTATAATGATGCACTGAGATTTATCACAAACTCTGGTTTTCTTACTCACCTTTGTCCATATTCTAAAGTCAGTTGAACTGCTTTTTGTACGAGCCGGCTCGTGCATCGCTATCTTCAAAATAAATCAGTTCAAAATTCCAGACTACCTTTCCTCTTTCTTAAGCGTTTGGGTTTTCTGTAACTTTTTGCACAGAAATCTCTACAGCCAGGTTTTAAAACTGCAACACTGAGTGACCCTGATTTTTTATTTTTTTTTAAATCTTAAGTGAATATTTTTCAACCCAGGCTCTCTGTATCCAAATGTTTTCGCTCTTCTTTTATATGTATATGCAGCTTTTCTTTGACAGGTCTTCCTTTGAATAGTTTTCTCAGACCTCAGTTGGACTATGCTTGCGAAATAAAGAATAAATAAAAAGATAAAAACAAGTAAAAAAGTTCTAAATGTGAAAGGCCAAGTCAAAAAAAATGAATGATGCTTTGTTTGTTTTTTAACTTTGGTTTTAATATCCACTTTTAGGTCTTCCCTCTTAAAAAAAACGCAGCTGAAAAAGTAGCAAAAGGACGAGACATTTGTACTTGATCACAGGACTTTGACTAAACTTGTTTCACCCAAGCACACTCACAAATCATTCACATATAGTTAATGTGGAAACGA